GAGAGAGAGAGAGAGAGAGAGAGAGAGAGAGAGAGAGAGAGAGAGAGAGAGAGAGAGAGAGAGAGATCTGCCATGCACTTTTCACACCCAATCGCCGGGAAGACATGAGGTCACGGACAACGTCGATTGGGTCAATGCAGGGCATTGATAAGACACACACACACACACACACACACACACACACACACAGGGCCTCGCTGCACTACTCTTCAAAGGTGCAAACGAGAGTGAATCTTCCGCTAGAACATGGAAAGATTCGTTTTTTTGTTGATTTTTTTTTTTGCATTTCAAGAGTAGTGCATCGACGCCCACACACACACACACACACACACACAAAGGTCGGGACGTGACGGCGGCGATGGCAAACGGCCGCGTCCCTCCATCTGCCAACGTGCCGACGTCCACCGGCCAGCACTCCACGCTACCGGTCGCCGGCGAAGCGACACGACGGTCGGGGCCTGCAAAAAAAAAAAAAAATTTACACATATTCGAAAAAAAAAAATTCCGGCCACGAAACATGCCAGCAACCACAGGGATCCCGCCCATAGACGTGTCCGTTCGTTGGACCGTACGGGAGGACGACAAGGCCACAAGTGGAAACGTTACCGTTTTCAAAACAAAAGAAAAACAGAAACAGAGTCCGAGGTTCCGCGGGACACCGGCTCGGCAAAATTCGGCGCGCACTATAAATCAGGGTCGGCAAAAACAGGCTCGGAGGTACTGGTGGTTTAAAAAATAATAAAATTGTTTAGGCCATGCAATGAAGTGAAAACAAAATAGTGAGTGGGCGAGCACGTTTTGGCACCGCCATCTTTGGCGATTTCTGATTTTTGTTTGGCTTAGGAAAATGACTTCAAAATTGATAGGCATGTACCTCACATCATAAAGAACTCACAAAAAAGAATTAAAAAAAAAAAAAGTATTTTTAGGCCCCGAAATAATTTTTGGTGGGGCCGAATGCCTTCCGGTTCGGACCCCGAACGGACCCGCCTTCGGGTTCGGAACGCGAACGTCCATACGGGCTGGTGACCCTGTCTATATATAGATAATATATATATATTTCCATCTGGTGTGGGTGAGTGATTGTCTACTTTGATTTTGGTTAAGGTGGATTATCACTTACAGTGTAATCAGTAAGGGGATTCTACAGACTGTTGAGGGTTCAGCCTCCTGATGAGTCGGTGAAACTCCGACGAAACAGTTTGTCACAGCCCCTTGTTTGTTGTCCACTTCTCCCTCTCTGCCTACGGTTTACCGGGCAGTTCTATTTGACGATATATATATATTTAACTACCCTATATTCTTCTCTCAAATCTTTCATCATCTTTCAAATTCTTTCAATTTCACCTTCACCACCTACCTACCAGGCTACCACTACTACTCAGGCTTATACAGGGGACCACTGCAAGCATAGCTTTGTTGTCTCCCTCCAGCCATCAGAGGGGATGCATGTTGCCCCCGACCACAGCAAACACAGCTTTGTTGTCTCCCTCCAGCCATCACAGGGGATGCATGTTGGCCCCGCCCAAACCATGGTGGTCAAGGATATATTTTCCCGTCCCCTGCTGCTACTACTTGTCCTCTGCCCTAAATCTCTCCAATTGCAGACGTGGAGGTGCGGTGAGAGTGCGGTGACAGTTTGCGGAGGTGGAGGTGCGGTGAGAGTGCGGTGAGAGTGCGCGGAGGTGGAGGTGCGGTGAGAGCTTGCAAAAGTGGAGGCGCGGTGAGAGTTTGCGAAGGTGGAGGCGCGGTGAGAGTTTGCGAAGGTGGAGGCGCGGTGAGAGTTTGCGAAGGTGGAGGCGCGG